CCTAAGCAATGTAGTGAATTACAGTCTTGAAATAAAAAATTAAAAAGGGCTGGGAATGTGGCTTAGTAGTGGTAGAGCTTCCCTGGGTTCAATCCTCAGTACCACACACACTCAGAAACATTCCTACAAAGACTAATGCTCTTCCTATACTCAGCTTCAGTGGCGAGCAATATTTGTGCTTGTACATTAATTATTTTGTGGTTATTAAGTTTGTTTCCGTTGCTAAGCAGCAATTTCTTTGAGAATAGACATCCCTGCAATAGAAGCTACTACTAATAAAAACCATGTAAGTACCATTGTCTCCAACAGCACTGGTAGCAGGAGTGAGCACAGTAATAAACGCTAATTGGGTTTTTATTGTGTCAAGCATTGTGTTAAGCCCTGTACAACAAGCACGCATTAGGTGGGTATTAAGAGTCTCCCTGTTTTTAGAAGTCTGGGGCTTATACATATTTAAAAGCTCACCAGAAGTCATACCCCCAGTCACTGAGCTGGGCTTTGAAAGTAGTCTTCTGTCAGAGCCTCTGCGTCTCAACAGTGGTTTCGTCAAGTGCCCACTCTATGCCAGGTCCTAGAAACACAGCTAGGATTAAAGGAGAGAGAAATCCTAGACCTTGGGGAGACTTGCCTACTCTATGGGGTACACAAGCAATAAATAAGTAAAATATACAAACTAATAGGTAAGGTAGTGGTAGCCTAGGGATATCAGAGAAGTGGGGGAGAAACAAGACAGGGTGGCTTGGGAGGCCTCGCTGAGAAGGTGGCATTTGAGAAGGTGGGGTGAGAGAGTGAGGCAGGGGGAGACCATGGGAACTAGCATTCTAAGCTGAGGGACCAGAGAGAGAGATAAAGCGATGAGTCAGCCAAGCCTTTAGGAGTCTCAGCAGCTCAGGAGACAGGATCTGCCTTACAGTTTCCAAGGATCACTTTGGCTGCTGTTTTGGGAACAGACTAGGAAGCATAAGGGTGCAGGCAGGGAGACAGAAGTTATTACAACATAGGAGAGAGGATGGGGGTCTGGCCAGGGTGGTAGCAGAGGATAGTGGGAGCTATATTCTAGATACACTTCAGAGACACAGCCCAGGAGATCTCTTAACGAACTGGTTGCAGGGACACAAGGTAAGAGGAGACGGCAAGGCTCCTGGGCTTGCTGGTTTGCTTGCTTGATTGATTGATGATTGGCTTTTACTTGGGTGATCCTAATGACTGAGCCGGAGCCAACCCTAGGAGAAGGTATGGAAGAAAGAATCATGTTCACATGCATGAAGTCTGAGACATCTGTTCCATGTCCAAGTGGAGATACGGGGTAGAAAGGAGAATTTGACTGAGTGGAATTCAAGTAGTCCAAGATGATAAGTTCCTGGTAGATAAGAGCAAAGAATGGTTATTTAAAGGCAAGTAGCTAAGGGAGTGCATAGAGATGAAGAACACAGGTCTGAGTTGAAGTTCTGAGACTTGCATTTTGGACAAGCCAGGGCAATTACTGACTGTTAAATTTTCTCCACTGCAAGGAAAGATACCAAGAGAAGAATGTGAATACCACCCACCCACATACACAAGCCCTTTGCAGGATGATGCATAAACCACCTGCCTGACCACTCATCTAAGAAGAAATGTTCAGTGTCTTCTGAGAATTGGTCAGATAATTATAGATCTCTGCTTCCCCTCCCCATTCAGCTCCCCAGATATTAGCATCAACATCCCTGAATAAATACTGTACCCAGGGCACAGCTTGAGACCTCCACAAACCAATGCAGATGAAGCTGGGGAATGCAGATGTGCAGACACTGAGACTTTCAAATTAAACGAGTTGAATTTCATTAAGCTTTCTGGTGTTTAAAGAAAACAGTAAGCTTATATATACATATATACAAATTTGTTTATCACTTTCACATAGGATCTCAGTAAAAGGAGAGCATTTATCTTTGACATACTTAAATGGAGATGTTCTTAGAATATTTCCTGTTCCATTGAAAAACCACTTAATTATATAAATGTATCATATATGTCTCTGTATGTATGTGTTTTGTAAAAGCTTCATCCAATGAAAAACTCTAGAATTGCATAAATATTTATGCCGTTTTAATTTTTTTTCACCATTAGGAAATGAAAAATGTTTGAGGAGCTAGACATGTTTACCCTGATTTTAGTATTATACATGTATACATGTACCAAATATCACATGGTACTCCATAAATATGTATAATTTTTATGTTCTCATATATCAGTTAAAATAAATTTAAATAATAAGAAATTATGCCTTTGAACACTTCTACATAGATAAATAAGGAAACCCATACTTCCTATAACCTTCACCAACCCTAAAAGACAATAATACAATCAGAATTAATGCTCTAAGCATTCATTGCTGGTTCATAGATATTATCTTACTGAATTCTCCCAAGAACATCAGTAAAGAATCTTTTTATACAGATAAACTAGAAAACTGGAAAGTCAAGGGTCACAGAGCTCACAAGTACTACCAGCACAACTCATTCCTGTCTCCTCCTTTTCCAAACCTGAGGGAACATTCCTTGATACAACAGCTGCTTACCATGAAATGCTGTTTTCTTGTTTAATTATAAGCCCTTTCAAACATGGCTATAATCCACAGACGCTTGTCTGGATTCCATTAGTAAAGTCCCTGTCACGTTAGCTCCAAGGAGGGTTATGAACTACAAGGTCATGCGTGCACCACGTCCCTCATTGCGTCTGGCCATGCGCACTTACTGAGTGCCCACTCTGTGCCAGGCATGAAACCCTCTCTCTAGACTCACTCAAGTGCCCAGAATGTACATTCTGCATGCTCTTCTGGGCTATAAGCAGCCTAGATTAGCAATACTTACATCCCTGACTTTAGACAGAGGGTCTTTTGCCATTTCCCGACAGCATCCTTCACCATTACTTGCAGCCTCCAACAAAACTTTAGTTTGCACTGTATTCTGACAACAAGAAATCCACCTCCTCTGTAAAGTATATCAAAAGCACATTTTTTAAAAAGAAATGATGTTAACAAATAAGACCAGGCCAGATTTGTTTGATCATATTTTGACTTTTCTCTCCATGAGCAATAACTATAATTCAGTGAATATCCTCATATATTTTTGAGTATCAACACAGATAAAATGAAAAAAAATCTCAGTAAAATGTACTGCTCACTGGTTCAAAATGCTCTAAAATATTAAACAAATGCAAACTAAACTATATTACCTTCCCTTCTGCTTCAAATATCTGTCCATAAATGTTGGCACACACAGGACTATATTGTGTCAGTTATCATAGGACAGAAAAAAATAATCTCAATTGCCATAAACTCAAAAGGGATGGTAACCAGTTTTTCAAATAAGTCACCATGTGTCACAATTTGGCATAAACTCTGATCCTTATGAATAATTCATACTTCGTGCATTAATAATGCATGCCCTATTTCTGTTGGAATGCTCCCTAACAGAATGAATGTCTATCACCAATTCCCTCCATTGACATGATGGAGTCAATGTAAAATTAGAATGATGTTTTTTGTTATTGCTCCCTTCAAAATTGTAACAGTTGGCTGGCCCATAAGGTTATGAAAAATATAAAATTCCTGTTACTTCCTGCCCCTTACATGGGAGTGACTTGGTTAGGTACCCCAGCATGCTTACCCTTGCTGATAAGAATATTTGCAGAGCAGAAACTTTGGCAAAGCTAATAAAGATTGGGTAGTTCTATTACATTTCTCCCTAATTATATATTTATGCATTCACAAAACACAGGATGTAATTGCTAAAACATGGTACCCAGCAGGGGAAAAAAAAAAGAAAGGAAAAAGCCAAATTGGCAAGATTTTCTAATAAATAGGGATGCTTTTCCCCACCCGGCATTCTTCCCTAGCTCATGTCACTACTGTGAAATTTCTGTTTGAATTTCAGTAAAATTATCTGGAACATTAAATAAATAAATAAATGTCCAAAGACTAAATAAAAGAATGATACCAAATGACATGTTTGTAGAGTAAAAGAGTCAACTTATCACCCCTAGTGAGGCCATGCCATAGCATGAGGACACTGGTACTTCAGGCTTTACTGAACTTTCCTCTTCTTCCCCCGTCGCGCCTCCACTGCCTCACCCAAGTGCACACCATCCACCAAGCAGTCACAATACTGGACACAAAGCAAGAAGAAGTGATGTGGTTTGGTATTAAAAAAAAAAAATATTCCAGTATCCTCCCCTCCCTTGAGAATTTCTTCAATAAAACCCAAAGAGAGGCTGGACTTCAGAAGTACCCCACACTGAGCAGAGAAGGAGTTTAAGAAAGGAGCCATCCGGTGTCAACATCTGTCCCCATGTGCCCTCATATTCATTCATTCTTTCTTTCAGCTCATGTTAGGAAGCGCTTGCTCTATGCCAGGTATCAGGTTCCCTTGGGTCTACAAGGTATTCCAGCAACGGAAATCCACCGCCCAGGTTAAGGACGAGGGAAAATTCAGATGTGGGTATCTACCCCAACTTGGCCCTGTTCAGAGGCCAGCCCACCTCGCCTGCCAACACCTCGGAAAGTCACTGTCCAGCGCCGGGTCCAAGAAGACCTCTCTCTTGGCAGAAACCTCTCGCCGGGGTCAGAGGGTCACTGCCCTTGCTCACACCGTCCGCTGAAAAAGTGAAGTTGGCGGCGAGTGGGACGAGGGGCACCGGGGGCATCCGGCAGGCTGGGCCCCCCCGCCAGGCTTCTCGCCTCTAACTCCCATGGCTACCGAGAAATATTTATGTCGATTAGATGGGCTCCAGTGGCTACTGTGGCAACCACCAGAAAGCCAAGTCATCCGAGGGATAAAGATAGATCATCACATACCTAGACGCCCGCCTCCCCGCGGCAGCCCCGGCAGATGTGGATGTGGACTGCGAAGCCCCAGCGCGGTTCACCGACGCGCTGCCGGCCAGCTCCTGCCACCTCCGGGGATGCTGGCGAAGGGCAGAGACAATTGAACGGGCGAGCGGAACAGCAAAGGATCGATACTCACCCCTAGGCGCCTGCTCCGGATCCTCACGTACCCTTGCTTCACTATGTCATTAAAATTGGAAGCCATCCCAGACAGCCGCTGACCCCCCTTAGCCAAGAGCACGCACCCCAAGCGGCTCCGGGGAGGGCTTAGGGCAGGGTGGAGAGAAAGAGCTGGGGGAGAAAGTTGAAGAGGCGAGCTGCTCGGGCTGTGGCTCGGCCAGGCGTCAGGAGGCGTGCATCACTTTCCGTGTCCCCCAACCCTGAAAGTGGGCGGCCGGCTCGCAGCCACTTTGGGGAGCGCGGCGCGGGGAGGCGAGGCTGGAGCGCCGGCGTCAGCTGACTCCACCCCGGCCGGCCAGGGGGAGGAGCGCGGCTGCCGAGAGATCCAGCGGCCTCTCCCGGCAGAGGAGGAGGAAGAAGGAGGAGGGGGAAGGGGAGGAGGGGTCAGAGGAAGAAGAGGATGGGGAGGTGGCGTTGGAGGAGGGAGACAAGAGGAGGAGCCGCGCGGGTCCCAGCGCCGGGCCGCGGCCACCCGCGCGCGGACACTCAGGCGCGCGATCGCCCCCTCCCCAGCCCCCGTCCGATTCCGCCGCACCCCGCCCAGAGCGCCCCAGCGGCCCGCGCACCTTGCCCACAGCCGACCCAGGCGACGCGCCCCCTCCTGTTGCTCGGGTGACTTATTTTGATTGGAAATTTCACCCTTTTCCAGCCGCTGCCATCCCTACCCCTCCCTTCAGCCCTGATCCTTTCCCAGAAGAGCTGACACCGGGTGCGCTTGCCCGGGGAGGTAGGGTCGCTCTGGTTGGCTTTGACCTTGGCTATACGTCTTGGCTTAAGGGGAGAGCGCCCTGGGGTTTCTTTGACATCCAGCACCAGGCCTTCACTGTATGGTTTGCCATGTGCTTCTCCTTTGAATCTGCCCTTCCCGCACGCAGGACTGTAATTTTTCTAGAGGCCAAGACTTGGCCTCATTGCCGTCCCCAAAGCCTGGCCCTGAAATAGGTGCTCGGTAAATTCTTAGTGGTTATCAAATGGCCACCTCGGTTCCAGGCACTGTTCGGAGGCATTTGCAAGGATTAACGCCTCTAAACTTAAACTCCCTTGCACCCTTTGAGGCAGGAACCCCCTTGTGTAAATGCCAGGCATATAGTGCTCACCATCAGCAAAGCATACCCTCTTAACGTCAGCCGCACTGTAAATATGTCTATAAAATAAACAGGAACAGGACACGATTTTCCACTCAGGGTTCCAGACTGACACATTCCTGGGGACATGAGTTGATCGCGGCTAACAGTTACTGAGCACCACTCTGCCGGATATTGTGCTCAATTTCTCAAGGTAAGAATGAGTTCAGTGCTAGCATCCATGTTTTACAGAAACTGATGCTCAGAAGAGTAGGCCCTGATACTTGCCCTGGGACCCACACTGGAGACTCAGCCAGGATGCAAGGGAGGTGTGTGGTCCTCAGCTCTGCTCCACACAGTCTGGTGCCTCTTGAAGAGCAGGTGTCTTGTGGGAGGGAGTTCCTACTATTTGGTCTCTAGAGAAGACCTTTCTCATTTGTGGTGTCCACAGAGGCAAAGAACATCTTGGCAATTAGACCATTTTTGCTCACTAGAGGTGACCAAACCAAGGCTGAGTGACCTGTGGTCAAAGCCACTGAGAAAATAATCCATCCATCTAGTGGATTATTTGGACTGATGACATAAAAAGCTTTTGACTCCAAGATTATAGAAGCTTCCCCTTCTCATCAGAAACACAGGCTTTTAGACACCCTGGTTTGGTGGTTGCCAAAAAAGAGACTTGCCCAATGTGTCATAGGAGAACTGAGACTAAACTGGGACAATCAAAAGGCAAATATTCTGACAGGGAGAACTCCATCTTTGCTGTATAGCAAACCATCTGCTCTGTCTTCACTTGGCCTTCTATGAAAAATGATTCTTTAAGTTTAAATCTCTCACCAAAAGAATAGAAAATGGTAAAGTCACTTGGAAAGCTATTTTTGAAGACTTAGAGTATATATATATATATATATATATATATATATATATATATATATATATTCCATGGTAGCCATGAAATAGAGGTGTTCATGGAAGGAATTTGTTCATCACATCATTTGTAGACCAAATCTACAGTATCATATAAACAAATAATGAAGAAATAAAGGCATAAGGAGCTTGAACTAAATGGCTGACAATAACAGAAATAATAACTGAGAAAACAGGTCAAGAAATCCATCCCTTGATAGTTAATGTTGAGTATAATAACCATCCATAAATAATTAAACTAGAAATGAGGAGATTAGAAACAAACTAGATGTGAAAAAAACAACAGTTTTAATTTCAAGATTGAGTCCAATATATGCTTTGTTTGGTAAAATCAAATTAATAATACATTTAAAATATAGTCTATGATATGCCATTCACTTAGCCCCTTAGATTTCTTCAAATTATGCAACATGCCATGGCGACACAAAGGGAAAGGATCACAGAAATATACCATATAGTAGTTCTTATTGAGTTATATAATACACAGCTGCACTACTATAGACAGCCAGACATATTTACACAAAATTAGTTTCATTAGAGATAAATCTGACACAAAATATTGTTATTTCCATCCCTACTTTCATTCAATTAGTGCTGCTTATTTATAGCATGCATTTCAGTTTGCTTCGTCATCATCTGGGTTCCCTCCCTGTAATAGTGGTCGCAGTGGGCAGAGTGACTCTTGATTAACTTCTGGCTCTGAATGCTATGGTGAGAAGGTTCTATTTTAGTGTGGGATTCTGAGCATACCCTACCCCTTACTTCCAGAACAGGTACACTGTCACGTACAATGTCTTCCTTATGATACTTGGTGGTTGGTTCAGATGTGGGTGCATGGCTCAGGTTAACTGATTTATAGTTATCTGGATTTCTTTATCTGAGAATTGAAACATAGACTCCAACCATTGGTCACAATGCAGCCTGGATGGAAGCAGCCAAGCAGCTACTGATCCATCAGGAGACCCTAGTAGAGTACTTATCAGGGAGCATGCAGAATAAGCAGAATGAAGAACTAAAGAGAACCAAACCAAGCCCTGGTGAGACTGTTAGAAACCCTCATCTAGCACCCCAGGAACATATTATGTCATTGAAGCAGACACAAAGCTAGTATGACAACTAGACCTCAAAATGCCTTCAGTTGCATAAGAGTTGAATGGTTTCTCAAGTAACAGCTCAGGCTGGGCAGGCAAGTGGTCCTGGGTAGGCAGCAAGCTCAGTTCATAAGATCCAGAGACCAGGCTCACAGGTCAACCTACTTTTAGGACATGATTTCCATCCTCCAGCTAGTAACTGCCATGTCCCAAGAAGGGACAACAACCTCCAGATGAATGTGATTCAGATGTTGCAAGCATATCTCTTATATGCATGGCCACATTTGCATCCAAGGAGAATGGAGAGTGCCGCCTCCATTTGGCATGGTTCTGTTGCCACAAGAAGAAAATGAATTGAAAACGGATGGGTCAGTCAGTTGAGCTTCCATTTGCATGACCTCAAGAGTGCACACTTCCTTAAGTCTTGCATTCTGGGTTCTTCACTTACCTTGTGGTAGTCCTGGTCCTGATACTGCCCTTATTACAAAAATATTAATTAACAGAAATGAATGTGTGTTCAAAAGAGAATACAGCTAGTCATGCTGTTCTGTGTGGACATCTTGTTGATATGATACAAAACCTTATCCCACGCTGAAATAGAACCTTCTCACCATAGCATTGAGAGCCAGAAGTTAACCAAGAGTCACTCTGCCCACTGCCTTTAGAGCAGAAGTTCAAACATGTCAACAACTCCTGCCCTGCCCTCTCCATTCCTTTTGGCCAGCTCTTATTAATAAGTCTTATTATTACTATTACAAACAGCATTGAGCTGCTTTGCTTAGAAAATTATTCGCAGAAATTCAGAGGCTTCTGCCCTTTCCCAGAGCAGGTGACAGGCCCGCAGGCTCTCCAGCTTTGCCAAAGGAGTCTGTATTTCCACCAAATGCCACAAAGCACCCAGGCTGAGTCTGGCACAGCACTTGTCCAGTTCCTTACCAAAAATAACTTCAGCATTGGCCCCGCTGCCTGCTGCTGTCAGTGGGAGGGTCACAGAAACATATGCAGCCTTTCCTGTAGCGAGGTGCGGCTGCAGTCATGAAAACGGTTTGGCTGTCACCCAGGAGGGGGTGTCGCTCCATGTGAGGGCTTGCCTCCACTAGCCCTCATCCAAATAAAGAAGAAGGACTTAGGATGACGCCAGGTGGGCGGGAGGAAACCTGGATCAGGTGTGGTTCCCTTACCCATTGCCTCGGTTCTTCGGTCCTGCACTCAGCGCATATTTATTGAGTACATGCTCTGGGCAGGGATTCACACAATAAACTTACACACACACACACACACACACAAATAAAGTTGCACTCCCCATAGAGGTTATATCCCAGTGGGAGAGAAAAAATAAACAAGTAAATAAACAACTTGAATATAGCCACGTTATGTCTTATTCAAAAGGAGGAAATTATGAAGGGGCCTCTGATTTGTATGTTTAATTTTTTAAATTTATTTTTTAATTGTAGTTGGACAAAATACCTTTATTTTACTTAGTTATTTTTATGTGGTGCTGAGGATCAAACCCAGGACCTTGCACGTGCTAGGCGAACGCTCTACCGCTGAGCTACAACCCCAGCAGTGAGTTGTATGTTTTAAATATAACCACAGGAGGTGATGGACAGGCAATCAGAGGTGTGCTGTACAGGGAGAAACAAGGAAAACTTACTCTTTTTTTTTTTTTTTTGGAGGGAGAGGGTACTGGGGATTGAACCCAGGGGTGCTTAATCACTGAGCCATATCCCCAACCTTTTTAAAATATTTTATTTGGAGACAGGATCTCACTGGGTTGCTTAGAGCTTCACCACCAAGTTGCTGAGGCTGGCTTTGAACTCAAAATCCTCTTGTCTCAGCCTCTCAAATCACTGGTATTACAGCCTACACCACTGCACCAGCAATTTATGGCTTATTCTTCATACTTATGTTAAATATTTTAAGTCTAATTTTTTGCAGGAGATGATATAGGAGAGGGACAGGGAAACTTTCTCTGAGGAGGTGACCTTTAAGCTGAAATAGGAAAGATGAGAAGAGGCTCCAGGAAACGTCAGGGAAGTGCAGTCCAGCTAGAAACAGAGTGTTGTGCAAGGTTGGGACACAGGGAAAGGCTCCAAGGAGCTGGGGCCAGAGAGTAGATCCACGCCCAGAGAGGAGGGAGCAGGTGACACAGAGATCTAGAGGTAGAAAGGAACAGTGCAGTCCCTCTCCTTGACAGCCACAGCAAGGAAATTGTGTCTT